TCACACAAATGTCGATGATGAGACATCTCTGAAAGTTGAACTTGAGTTGAATCCAACTTCTAAGTCAAAAAGTTAACATGATCAATCAAATTGAAATTATCACACCTAGCAACCATAATCCAAAATTTTGGGATCTTCTGTACTATCTTTAAATTTATTTGATGACAACAACAGCAATTTAACAAACGTCATGCCTCCGTACAAAAAAGAATCAAGCTTGGCTTTTGCTAACAAATATATCGAAGTTAGAAGACGAATTTAAAAAATCGTAATAGCTGCAGGTGTAAGCGTGGAGACTACGCTTTATGTGTGACCGTGCAAAGTGAAGAAACATTGGAGTAGCGTATGATGTATTCATCAATCTATTTTTTGTTTTTGTCGTCGTTTGGAACATTTGAATATGATATATATTACAATTACTCCAGGCAAAGTAACGAATATCAGCAGTAAATCGAGCATATATCGTTGATAAAGTGATAATGTACTTTGAAACGGTGCAAAGCGACCTAAATCACCACCTAGATGAACGAAGAATTCTATTTCTTCTACTGCTCGTTTCAAGCCACCTGAATGTTTTATTTCGAGTGACATGAGCCTTGCTGCTTTTTCGTATGTTTCATTCATCCACAATGCTGATATTGTGTTTGTTACGCGGCTAACTGTGAACGTGTATTGCACAAAATCATAGGGATTTATCAGTGATTGTAATGCAGATGGTGGCACAAACAATGAGTGTCCAACACCTAGATCCTCGATTCTCATTGCATTAGCAAACTGATCCATATTAAACGGCATGCACAGTATGGGTTTACCACAGTGGAGTGCTTCTAAACATGAGCCCATGCCACAATGACTTAGAAACACTTTGACTGAGCCTTGTTGTAAGATCCATTTTTGTTGTACAAATCCATTTTCGATTCGTACTCGTTTGTCATTGTTTAATACATCCGTAAATTCGTCATTATCGAGCTCTTTCAATACTGCTTGAAATGTATCATAGTTTGTGCTGCGAAATACCAGTAGTAGTGAACTACCATCTGCTTCCAGTAGAAATGCGGCTAGACCACTTATCAAATTATACATTCGATCGTGTGGAATCACGGAAGTACTGCCAAAAGCGCCATAAACAACAGAACGAACGGGTTTCGACTTCATCCATTTTGTGAGAGCATTGTCAACATCATCGATGAGTTTTTCGTCCATAAATGCGCCCATGTACTTTGTACCGTGATGTGAATAAGATGGTGTGTAGAATGAATGCGGCACACTAATTAGTTTCAAACATTTTGATTGTGAAGATCGAAGATTTCTTAGCGTAAAACTATCGTGAAATGGCCCTGATACGCGTGGTAGGGACTGAAACAGTTTGTAGAACAGTGGTATCATTTTCGGCGCCAATTTTGTGATCATACGCATAGTAAAAGCAACATTGTATATGCGATACGTAATTTGGGTTAATTCTTTCGATGTTAGCAATGAGAAAACATTTGGTAAATTGAAATCGAGAATATTGGGAAAAAACGCTGGGCTATGCGTCACACACGGTGTATTTGCTTTCTCGCACAAAACAGGTACACCAACGACCATGGCACCAGCAACGATCACATCGAAACGTTCAAACATCAAGATATGTATTGTCTTATTCAATATCGATGTAATTATTTGGCCTAGTTGTGGAATTACATAGGATAATGCATCGAACGTAGAATAATTAGCAAAATAAGACATTGCTTCGTGTTCATTGTTCTTTTCCACAGCCAATGCATCAGGCGAATCGTTTGTATAAACAACACGAAATGTCGAAGAAGAATACGGTTTGAAATCGATATAAGTTTGAGCAAATTGTTGGGTAACAAATGTAACATTGTGATTCTTCATTGTTTTAGCTAATTCAAACATCGGTATCACATGGCCTGCAGCCCCACTACTAATGAATAAAGCATTTAAACAAAATGATCGGGGAACAGATGATAGCAGTAAAATGAGGACAATGTAATTCAATGTCATAATACGACCTCAAAATAGAATGCTGTAGAAGCAAAACAACTTGGTTTGTGCTGACAGTCGCTTTTTTTGTCTTACTGTAATCTTGACGCAGTGGTGAGGAGCAAAATAGTGACGATGATAAAAGAAAGAAAGGAATAAATCTGTCTTTCTATTTGCTTTTCTTTCGCGTTTTATAGAGATGTATGTATGATGGTCATAAATAGTTTGAGTGAAACACCTACAAAATAGAAGGAGAAGGAACATCTGAAGAAAATTTACACTTTTTTGTGCAAATCTATGCGTGCTACGACCACCAGATCTCTCCTTTCATTGCTTTTCGCTCTCGCTGATTATCGCTCTTGTTTAGTTATACTCTCGCTCATCGATTTCTTTCGATATTTTCCTCCTCTCTGCTATTTCTCGCCTCCACTCACATATGCGATCTCTCGTTCGTCTGTGGCGTAGTGATGATGAGTATTGAAATGGATACTCCAAATTATCTCAACTTCTGAGAAGACATACATGTAAGTCGTCTGTGCGGCGATTCCACGTAAAAGTCCACTTTTAAGTAAGTCACTGGCGTTTTGTGAGACAGATAGCTCTTAACGAAAGAACTAAACAAATGTCGACCCTGCACTGATCGAAAGAGCATGGATTTTGCTACCGATAGCTATTTTAAACTAAGAAACGACTTAACAAGCCTGTTGAGAAAGCAGTATAAAAACGCTCGCCGAAAACTGACCAACATTAGCCCTTGGTTGATTAATACTTAGACAGATCGATGAGCCCCGATTTTCCCTTTCGAGCAATGAAGCTCTTAGCTCTATGCCTGCGAACGTACTCGAGCTATTCAAAAAAATGATCATCCGCTGTCTTCTTTGAAATGGAAATTAGTCATGATTTCTATGGACTCAGACTACGTTAGGACTCGCTCTCGGATCCGGGCTGACTCGGAGTCAAAAGAGTGTCAGACTTGCCTTTCGCTGTTAATTCAGCATGGACTTTTCGCTCAAAAAGAGTATCAATCGTTTTCTGTCCCTATCGGTATCTTGAATTTCTAATTAGTCAATTGAACAAAAAGAAAAGTTAAATCAGCTGATCAATTCGAAATCTTTGTTCAAAATCCAGATATCCATAATTTCTTAGCTCTTATTTGAAGCGGAAAACATTCAAATAGAAGGCTCCCTCGTTCACGTTCAGATAGATGAGATTGGTAAGAAGTCGACCATTTATATTTCAATGCTATTCTCGGATCAATAATACAATATTGTCATTCAAATACAAAGTGAGTCTGCCTCCCCTAGTGAAATATCTTGTAACCAAGATCTTGACTTCTTGAAATTTTTCAGTAAGGTCTTGATTCAAGATCTTGGTAAGAAAATGTAAGAATTCAAGAAATTGCGAGACATCCAGGTCTTGAACATCTTTTAATTTCTTGACTTCTCCTACCAAGATAAAAATTGTACAATGAGTGCAGCGTTTCTAATTGACAACATATTTATTATAAATTTTACGAATTTTCAACCTTTATGATCATTTTCAAGTAAAAAATGTTTTATTGCAAACAGAATACTATACCAGTGAATTCTAACACAAAGAGAGACAATTGATAGAGTTAGAATGAATATTTACTGTGCAGTGTAGAGTAATCTTCAAGTTAGAGATGCTTCTAACCGACGCCTATTACATGTTTTGGTAGTACTGTTCGTTCAACGCTGCCAGGGTAAACATATAATGGTACTGATCGATCTGTACCATTCAACACAAGGGCAATAGCTCTTATAGCCAATGATTCTTTTAACAATAGTTTATATTTATGTTTATCGGGCAACGTAATTCGAAAATCATCTGATGTAAATTGATGTCCTGTGTCGTTATAATGTTTCTCAATAGCTGATATTGGTTCATGTTTCCTATTATCAATTTGACAAAATGTGTCTATATTATCAAGTATCATATCCGAATCAACCTTTTTCAATTGTGATGAAAGAGCTCTTGCTTTTGAACGTGTCATAATACTATGAATAGGAATATTCAGTGGTTTATTAGTTGCTGTTGTTGAATTCAATTTTACTATTTTTATGTTTTAACATTTAGACATTTCCGAGTTCGCACTAATGAACATCAGAATAAATGGGAAACGACGTTTTTCTGAAAAAAAGCTACTTTTTGGGAGGTAAAAGAAGAAAGATAGATATCCTAGTAGTAGTAGTTTAGCTGAGGTCGTTAAACTTACCACTCTGACCCAGTAGGAAACCAAAAAGATTTGTTAGTTGGTAAGCACTTGACCAACTCGATATAAACTCTCGATTCGTTAGCGAATGTCGAAATACTGACTAACCCACAATAAAAGAGTACCATTACATTGTAATTCTGTTGTTCATAATTTCGGAAAAAATCAATAATACATTGACTTCGAACATAGTTTTCAATTCGAGCTCCAGATGTATATTCCAGACATTTTTGCTTATCTCTCTTATGAAGAGCGTTTGGATCGATTTTTAGCTTCGACATCTGAAAAAAAACCTAAGCAGTGCACTCAAACCTTTGCCTATAAATTGTATGAAGAAGAAAGAGAAAACACTGTAAGTCTACCTTGGAAAAAAAGCCCTTGGAAAAGTCCACGCAGTGCGTGTATTTCAGAAAATTCAACGCTGTAAGAAATTTCATTGTGGTTAGTTTTTCTGGCTTCTGTGACTGCTGCCGTTTTGATCTACAAAAGAAACAAAGATACTCAAAGTATCATAAGAGACCTGCACAAGACACTTACGAGTTGATTCAGAACCGTCACGCATATATACGTGATCCGTTCTCAAGAGTTAAATAATTGTTGTAAGCTGTTTTGAGCAGTGAAAGGCCTCCGTTTGTCTACCTCGATTGTTTTTCTTTGCCAAGAAGGCGTAAAGCCTTTTTCCTATTTGTTGCATATTTTATTACCGTCTATTACGGTTCCATTTAGTCAGTCTGAATCCCAAGAATGTTGGAAAATCGTTATTTGTTTGAACGTAAAAGTTTTATACTCTACACGTTATATTGACCGTAACATAGCCTGTATAGAATTTATATACCAGACATGTGTGTGGTTGAAGGTGTCTGTGTTTTTGTTATCCTCATTTTAAACCAGCCTTGGAAAAAACCAGTGTTCGTTACACAGATAGCGCTACTTATTTTTCTGTTAACGTGCTGTACACACGATTGCTATACTCGGAATTTCAGTAATTTATATCTGCTTTTGCAAAAGCATGCAGAAATAAAATTACTAACTACTAACTTTGAGCTGACATTCCAATTGAGCCGGGAGTGAATGGTTTATCTAAATGGCATCATGCTTTCGAAGAGAAAGTCGAGTGAAACATGATAAAATAAGATTCCCAGTGTTCTTAGAGAAGTTCTTTAGAGAGGTGTAGTGGACATTAAAGGAGACATTTAGCCAAGAGTTGGAATTACCATTCAACTTTTATTGCTAAAGCATTAAGTTAGCTACCTCAAACACCTTTATTCACTAGAGTAACACCTTTTTCTCTGCGCCAGAGTAACGGAAAACTCAAATTAGAAACTTTCTCAAAACTTCGCTGAACTTTATCTTTTTAATTAAATATTTCTCCAAAAACCATATCAGTTTTGAGTTTTAACTCTTTGGGCTATGTATTAAAACAACAAACCATCTGCTGAACGCGTATAGAAATCAATTATTTATCATGCTAGCAAAATTTCCAAAATGGAATGTCAGATATTTAAGATATTCAGAATGTCTGGCGACTAGCCCACTACAACCGCACGTTGAATGTTGTTTTGTTACTCACTTTCAGTACCTCCGGGGGGGGGGGGGGGGGCCGGCGCGGGGCGGGGCGGCGGGGGGGGGGGGGGGGGGGGGCGGGTGTGGGGTGGGCGGGGGGGTCG